CGTTTCAACTACACAAAGCTTCTCACACACGCACATCGACGCCCCGATTATTCCGCCCTGGATTACTCGTTGTATGAAGGAATGCTCCGGATCACAAAGCCGCATTGGATGTGTGTGTGGTGTATGTGCTCTGCTCAGTTCGCTGGTGTGTGTATGTTTACGCTGGGTTTGCGTGTGTCCAACAACGCATTTGTTTCAAATGGACCCAGGAGAACAGCTAATTTACACACATCACTGGCAACTCCATAGCGTATGGTGTGGGGTTCCCAAAAGAGTTAGGTTTAATCTTAATCTCGATGGTAGCTGTAAATGCCTGTCGCAGTACACCGGAACGAACGGCCCCGGGTATGACGTTATTATGGCTGGCCTAAACAAGCCAGGGGTCTCAACATACATTCCAGTTATATCAATATGTTGTACAGTGGTCTTAATTTGTTTTTAATTGTATCCTGGTTTTAAACTGTGTTAATATGTTTTGGAATGCAATTGGTTCCTATTATTTGTTCAGGCTGTTTACATACAATTAGCCACTGTGCACCTCATATTAGGCCTTAATTAATATTTATATTAAAATTTGTAAAGCGGTCCTAATTTTTGTTTTAATTGTATTCCTGGTTAAAACGTTGTTGAATATGTTTTGGATCAGTATTGGGTATTTCTTCAGCCTGTTACAATACAATTCAGGGCCTCTGTTGCCACCTGCTGGTGAGTAAATATTCAGATCAGTTAAAATTGACAACCGGTCCGCGATTTTTTTTTAATGTATCTGCCGGCCCTTGGCACAAGAAAGGTTGTGGACCCCTGCCTTAACCCATTGTCAGGGGTAGCTGCAAATTGATGGGCTCAACTACTGGATGAAAAACATCCTTTGAATGTTAACAAAACAACAATATATCTACCTGGTATCCTCTCTGATATGTCTTCTTGCCAAATGAAATGTGTACTTCCTTCTACTGTGAATGCTATAACATAATTTTTGACTTTTGGATATTGACTTGATGTCAATGTCGGAAGATGCCTTAGAAAATTGTTAGCATTGTCGACGTAAACAAGGTATATTCACGCTCATTACCCTTTTTTGCTGAACATTTTCAGGATCATAGAAAGAGAACTAGTTCAATGGAGGAAGTACACAAAGGATTATGGCTCTTTCTCTTGGTATAAAAAGATAGGCTTTTCCTTATAATTAGCCTGTTGCTGTGCTCCAGTCTCTTCCTACTCCCACCCTCATTGGACATGACTTTATTGAGATGATTCAATGTGGGTTGCCTAAGCGCACACGTCACATACATAAATACATCAGTTCTCATCCCAAAAATTACGTTAATATAGGAAAAAGGGCTACAGTAGCTTTGGAAATGTGATTCATATTTAAATAAAAATGAAAACGTTTTTGAGCTTTGCACATTTCCCCCAATAATATAGTATGCCTTTACCACAAAAAAGAGGGAAGATATAAAGAGAGATAAACCATCGACTGCATCAGTCAGAAAGTGACAACTCCTTATTTTAAGCCTCATCTCACATTGTCAGTGCGAAGAAACTGCATACTGTCAGTAAGGGTCTTTGTGACTCCGTTAATACACATTGCACACAATAATACGGTAATGCTCTCTGGCTATAGCAGCTGAATGACTAAATGAAGGAGGACATGCAAATACAAAATTAGATGGGAATTTTCAGACCCAGAAGAAAATATAACTATTAGGGCCGGGACTCGATTAAAAAAATTAATTTAATTAATTACAGGCTTTGTAATTAATTAATCGCAATTAATCGCTTTTTTCATCACATATAAATATTTGACCTGAGAACAGTGAGAAGCAATTTTTTTCACATGGATTTTAGTATACCATTGAATAATGACTGAATACATAAGCTTAAGCAACAAAACATTGTTTATTTTTTTCAAGGATGTACTTAACCAAGACCAACAGAAAAGTGCAATTTTTGCCGTAAAGTGTAGCAATAGCATATTTAGGAATATAGTACATTTCAGAGATTCAGGTAGCCTATAGGTAGGTAGACCTTCTGTAAACTATAACACTTTGTTTTTTAAGTATAACACAATACTTTCAAGTACATTCAGAACATTGGAAACCCTGACTATTAGAAAACATCTCTCTGTTGCTTCAGAGGCCATAACAGACTTTGTTGATTTACCAACAGTTGATTTAAAAAATCTAATCAATTTCAGTCCAACTCTCTCAATAACCTTGGCCAAAACAATAAACAGTTCAACATAAAGTGCCAGTTGCACCAACAACATAATAAATAGTTCAACATAAAGTGTACCATTTAAAATAAAATAAAAAAGTGCCAGTGATTGACCTCAATCCCTCTTAACGCTTAATTTTGTGTACGATTACCAAACTTAATACCGCGTTAAAGTCCGCCCTAAACTAATAAATTCAGATATATCATTATAGGATATCTTTATGATCTCAATTGGGAAAGTGTCCATCATAGCAGCTGAAACAACATTGCACATAATGAAATTAGAAGAAATTTTAATTCGCTGACA